TTTCTGGGGTACTGCTGCCAAATTATCTTATGTTTATACATAAGATAAAAGTAGCTCAAATTATCTTTAAGCAGAAGAATTACAAAAAAGACAGAAACATAGCTTGCATGTTTTGCTGTTGGTAAATGTTCAGCCTGCTCCCTGTCTGTCTCTGCTTCTGCTTTACTGACCACCTTTTGCTACATGTCATTTGACATCATTCACATCATGGATGAGTGAATAAAGCTGCTGTCTGGGGTCTGTCTTCCTCGTGGACATTCACGTTCACACCATAGATGAGTTTGGATACCTTCTCAGTCTTTATTCAACTTGCTGGTAAACTCTTCTCATCAGATTTGGTGCTTTTCCTGCACTAAGTTAAATCCTAGCAAGGTTTATGAATAACACTTCTTATTGGTGGTATGTTATGGGTTACGGATAATGATGATGGATTTGCTATGTAGAATCTTTAACACCAGCCACAGCTGAAGAGCTGAACACCAGAGACAATGATTTGCACTGGCAGTTATAATAACCGGTAATAAACTTAATAGTGAAGTGAGGATCTTTTTACAATAAACATAATAGGCTATAGTCTCTGCATTTGAGTCCTTTACAAAACTGTATTGTGACATTTTTAGCTTCATTTTAAAAGTTGGTCTTAAAACTTTTAAAACCAGATTTTAAGTAGTTTGGTAGTTTGAACCACTGGGTGATGAAGCATCAAGAGTTTATTACCATTAAGAGTCTGTCTCTATTCTGTTACGAAGAGTAATGGCTTTTTAGGTTTTTATTGAAAACTTTAAAAATCTAATGACCCCTAGAAGGCTTCAAAAGGGTCTGAGTCATTTTAACTCTTTGATACTAATGTTAACAAATAATATATCAATAATTGTTTTATGTGCATCATTTACAACTTGGCTCATTAACATGCAGAGGCTGCACATGAGTCACTGTGCTAACATTAGCACAGCCCCAGGTCATTTAAATGGTTTCAGTAAAGAACATGATCCCAGGAAAGGTGAGCACATCAGAGCAGGAGATTTCAAACTAGTGTGTTTAAAAAGTATCACTCCTGAAACTTCAACTAATAAGCTACAAGGTGAAGTAACACATTTAACCGTGTGTATTTTAGTTAGAAGCATGCCTACAGAGTTGAGCTTTTTCCACCTTTAGGTGTGTCAGATCAACTCCTACAGCTCCTCACCGCAGTACATTTCTCCCTCAGGATGGCTGCAAATCTCTTTATAGAGATCATCAAAACATGGCCTGTTGGAGTTCTCCCTCAGCAGGGCGGCAGCTTTACCCACAAGTGCTGATTTTAGGAATCGGCACTTGGAAACGTAAGGATAAACACTTCAAAGGAACGTGCAGTACTTGAGTAAATATATTTGGTTTATCTCTCACCAACAAAAGCACAGTGCTGTGTAAATGTATTTTTTCCCCTTAAAAATATTTTCGGTTTCTTCTTTCCCCATATTTCTCATTAATTTTTATTAAAGATCTGTATCAATTTCAACACATTCCTAAAGCACATATAAAACCATGGGAGATGGACCAAAGTGTTTTATGTCGAGGTGAAATAAATCAAGGCACAAAAGGAATGAAACAAGGTTTTTAAAAAAGACATAAGATGATTATAACTAACAAACAGAATTTTAAAAAATGGTTTTGATTTCTTGTTTAAAACAAGAAATCAGACTAACACAACAGGGTTGTATCAGTACGTCAGACTCAAATGCTCTGCAAATGAAAACCAATTTCAGGAGACTTTTTAAACTTCCCAGTGTCTGAGCATTCAAGAGCAGAAACAAAAACTACAAGAACATTTTTAGAAGATGGCAACATATACTGTGAGAAAAGGACAGGGCTCAGCATGAAATACTTACATGTTAAATTTTAATCTGTCAAAGATCACTTCAGTAAGTGATGAATAATTCCCAAAAAATGGTGACTCTTGACTGGAGTTCAGAAATGAGTGACGTTTAATTGAATTGTTAAAATTATTTACTTTACCAGCGGTAAACAACTTTTAATAGAACCATAGAGTATTTTAAATCCAGATTATGTATCTAATTGTGTATTTGATATATCTTTTTAGCTATTAACAGCAGAAATATCATTCCATAACTCTTGAGGAAAACTGAAAAATACTTGAATACTATCATGAGGCAGTTTGAAGAAGAGGGGAGAATAAGAAGGAAAAGGGAAAAAGAGGAGGTGACAGAATGTTGTACCAACTCTGTCCTTAAGGAGAAAATATTGAATAATTTTATTCTGTGGATGGGGGCCTATCTGAGATTATCTTGTCCCAGGCCCAGACAAGATCATCATCTGATCTGCTCAACATCATTTCCCATTTGAATAATTAAATTTCTATCCAGTGCAAGATTAAAGGTTCAAAGGTTTCTGCATAAACTGTCATGACGTTTTGCATATTGGAGTTCTTTAGGGTCTCAGAAGTTTGCTTCTGTCTTGACCTCTTTCAGACTAACAGTTAGCTCCAGGCTAAGGAACCATCAGATAACACCACTGACAGGTTTCTGTTTCAGACAAGATATTAACTGAACAAAAAAACAAATACAAATAATGATTTCTTGTGAGTCATGTATTTATTATCTGACTTTTATGGACTTGTTACTAATGTGTGTATCATGATGGCTCGGTGTGAAATCATGTATTTTTCTGCACGTTTTCAGAGTCTGCTGAAAGGAATGTCTTACTTAATATTTTTATCAAAATGTTAAGTATATAAATAAAATGAGTCACAATTACAGTCTGCATTCTTCCCCCCCCCCCCAACATAAAATTCAAATTCCAGTTTATCTTCCTCTTCTCTAAGAAAAGGCACAGAGGTTGTAAAAACTCATTTGAAAACCAAATCTGAAATGGGTGTAAACAGCTCTTGTCCTTTGCAGTGGGTCACTGTTGGATGTCTAAATTCCCATCAGGGAGACGGTCCTTTAACAGTCTGGGTTTCACAAATTAAAAAAAACAAGCGGTAGGAAATTATAGCTAGATGATTTTTGTCACATCAAAAGATCAGCATCAGCCAAATTTGCATTTGGAGACACGTGCTGGCCGGGTGATGACTTATGAAAGGAAAAGTCACACTCAACAAGGCATGAACTATAGACATGCAGGCAACAACAGAATCAATTTGTTCTCTTGGTTTCTCACTTCCTGTTTCCTCCCATCATCTGTCTCTCATCATGTTACACAGCCTAGATTAGGAACACAAGGCTGCATGTATGTTTTACCGTTTATCAAGTCTAACAATGGACTGAAAAAAAACTGCATTTAACTCTGACAGCTTTGTTATTGGTCCTCTTGCTATCACCAGCCAGATGTCAGTGGGGTGCTTGTCTTTAAAACTCCCTGACATAGACACACAGACGCACATCTACTCATGCATAGAGCAAATGCAAATGGTCCATGCAGACATGAGAAGAGGGGAATATTGCAGAGTGATTGGGATAGAAGAGAAATGTCTGTTCATGGAAGTCAAATGTGAAAACAGAAGCACAGCCTATGCCTTAACCATTGAGTCTTCCAGAGCCGCCTGGCAGGTTTCATTCCTCGAAATTATGCAAATGAGGTTCAGGCAGCATTTCCACATGACTGACAGGCTGCCTAACCGACAATTAGAATGTGATGGTTTCTCATTGGCTGGAACTATGTCAGTGTGACATGTGGAATAGATATACCCTGCCTGCTCTAAGGTGTTTTTATCACAGCTCTCTATTCGTCTGTGTCCCTCTAAGACTGTTTGTCTGCTGTCTGTCTTTGTCAGCCTTTATCTGCCATCCTTAGTCTGGGACCTCAGAGTTATTCTTTCTTCCTTTCGATTTAATTTAATTTGAATCAGCCTGTTTGTAAAGCAAGAGAAATGTCATGCCAGGCAGCAATAAAATCTTGTAAACAAATCCAAACAAATGGAGTCCAGTTTGATCAGATTATATTTTAATATATCAATTTCATTCAAATTTAGTTTGTTCTTATTTGAAAAGGCAAATTGTGAAAACATTTTAATAGAGCATGTAAATTGCACTGCATATTTATTTTTGGTTCAATCTTCAAATCCCAGCATGCACCTGGTGGTGGCTGACAGTGAAGGGGCCTAAAATCATAGTAAAAAAAACCTTTGGCAGAAAAATAGTCACTTTTATTCACTACAACGTTTCCCCACTTCCTCTGCAACCTGCTGAAAATTAGTAATGGAGCAGAACAACTTTTGTATGCACTTCAGTAACTTAATCCACAGTGAAAACCATGAAAAACAGAATTAACGTGCTCATATTAACTTTGCTCAAAAAAAGAAAAGATCATCGCCATGAGCAAAATGCAAGTTTATGAGACCCAGTGCTTTTGGAATATGGAATGATTAAAACAACTTCAACTGAATTTGAGTTGAAAATAAAATTGATTAGGTAAATTATTAGAAATTACTGAGGTACGTTTGGTGAAAAAAAACAAAAGTAATAGCAGAGAAGAAAAACTGCCTACTGAAAGGTGTATGCGTAAGAGTGCAAAGTTAATGGTCATCCTTCACAGACTCTGTTAAATGTCATTCCCTTGCAAATGCTGCCAGTGTGTCCTTTGCAGCTGTCACTCAGGGTGACATGCAAAGATCCCAATCTTGTTTATTCACCGACCCATTGCTGGTCAGAAGTGTCCTTGCATATGTGTGAGCAAATCTTTGCATGACAAAAGTAGACCCTCTCCCACACACACACATAAGAGTCTTTCTATCTTCACGGGGACTTTGCATTGACTTCCATTCATTTTACATTCGTGTTTATAGCCTAACACTGACACATATCCTAAATCTAACCTTCTACATTCATAACATTATCCTAACTTGTAACCCAAGAAACGGCACCTCTTAAGTGGCAAAGCTTTGGGCCCCATAAGGAGCAGTTGGTCCTCACAACCCATACACACACACATCCCCACAAGCTGTGAAGCCATCAGAAAAATAACAGTCAAAAACAATAAAAAAAAAAACTTTTGTTTTTCAGATTCTGCCAGTTGTCAACCCATGCAGACGACATCCCTAAGCATGTTGTTTAGAGTTTCCAAAAACCAGGAGAGAGACACGGTATTCCCAGCTGCACAAGCAAAGAAATCAAGGCATTTTTTTGAACATGTAGACGCTCACAAACTGCATGCTGCGGGGGACAACAAAGATGTGGGAAGTGACAAGGTCGTAATGGGAACCTGAGGGCCTCGCTGCATATGTCAGCCGTACACATGCTGTCAAGATCAACAACATCATTTGCAGGGAAAGAGGCGCAGGCAAATACAAGATGGAAATGGGTCACTTTTGGTATATATATATGCGGTAAAAGCTACCCTCTATGTGTTCAGATGACAGACTGAGGGGTGAGACATCTGATTCCGGGTTTATCCATTCCTTTCATACACAACCTCTACAGCGTTTCTTTTTCCCTCTGGTAGAACTCTCTTTTCAGGCACCACTAGCCACTTAAGAGATGTAAATCTTTGAGGAGTGGGTTGCAATAAATTGTAAGCTTTAGCATCTCTGAAAACTTACTCCACTTTAAATCGGACAGCAAAAATAGAAGGTGAGTTCCTTCCCTTTGGGGCATCAGAAAATGTTTGCATATGTTTTGATGTGTGTAAATGTGCTTTGCTATTTATTCATGTCTTGATGTATGCACATGTTTTGCAGCAACTGATTCATAACCCCAGTTTTTAACTCTCTTGCTGGGACCAAGATGAGGCAGTGCAGATGGCAGTGCGTGTGCAGCAAATCCAAACCATTTAAATGTTTAAGAGCAGTGCTGGCAGTGCAACGGCATATAAAACAAAAAGCCTGTGGAATGTTAATTGAAAGGAAAAACCACAAAGTGCAAAGTGGGTTTGCTTTAGCTCATTTTAAAAACAGGACCTCACAGCAGCGAGTGATCACAGTACACAAACTGTCTGTGAAATGAAAATAAGTAAACAGAAAAACACCAAATCAAATACAAAAACTGACATAACAAGGTTGCATTGTTTCCACGAAAACGTGGGTAGTATTATACATTTGACTGTTTTGAATGCCTTTGTTTTATGTTCTTAAAACACTAAGGTTGTAAGAATTCATTTTAATTCCTTGACAAACAAACAAAAAAATAAAAATAAACAAAAGAAAAGATACTAAAATGCCAACTCTGTCAATTTTGACCTGTTCAGTCAGTAGGGAAGTACTATTCTTAGTGCAGTGACTCTGCCGTCCACCAGGGGCAGACTTACAAAAGTGTAGCCTCCAGTCTATTGACTGCCTGTACCATGATGACACGAACACCCTGCTCTATTCTTATTTTTTAATGCCACATGTAATTATGTCCAGGAATATTATTTACAGTTTTAGTTCAGTTTTCAGTTTGAATCCATGTCCATGTTTTCACCTTTCTGGCAACAAATTTTAGTCCAAACCAGCTTTTAACACAAACTAGCCAACAATAAAATCTCAATTTTTAGCACAGTTTCCTCATAACATAACCAAGGCACATCCATGGTTCTTTGGGTTTGTTAGAAAACACTCTGAAGATGGTGTTGCTTAGTTTTTCACCAATGATTGAGTCTTCTGACAGTCATTACAATCGTCTGTATCTGCACTGTAATCATCCACTTGCTTGTCGTCTTTCAGATTCTCTTGAATATAAAACCCTGGGTTGGTAATAATGTAAGGGATTGTCCATATTAAAAGACTGTCCTCTTCATAAACCTTTAATCCGACTTGTATTTTGAGATTCGACAGCTTTTGGCTCTTACTTTCTGGATCTTAAGGACTTGTCTGACTTTTTGTAGAACTTTTGATCTCTCACTGGCACTGGCACATGCTGCGTGAGGCTGGCCCCATGGATGCTCTGGATGTGTCCTTTTCAGTTGCATCTTTCATGATAAACAAGCTCCTTGTTGACTGTTCGTGTAGCGGCTGATTTAATATCCATGTGTTGTGTCAGGGAAGGGCTGCTCTGAGGAGGAGCCAACTGCCCCCCTTTGAAATGATAATGGGCCCATGTGGCATGACAGATGCAGGTGAAGAGGGAGGGAAGGCTGCAGAGATGGATACTTGGATGCACAAAGATATGAAGAAAGTGAATGTGATTGATGGTAAATAGTAGAGTGTGTGTTATTTTAACACAGTGTTCATAAAGATATTGCAATGAAAAGAGAAAGTGGTCAAACAAAGAAACTTTGAATACATCAGCCATCATGGACTGAATGTGATTATCAACATAAATCAGATGCTGTAAAATTCAGAAAGAGTGTGAATAAAAGTTTCACAAACGGGTTGATTCTCTTGGGTGCCTAAAACTTCACATAGGATAACAATTTGGAGGTAGATTCAGATTTGTTTCTATTTGTTTTGTTTTTTTTTTTTATTTTAATAAAACTAATGTTGAGAAAACTGTCTGGTCAGTGCTTTTAACATACTATATTATTTACATGTAAATATATTTTACTATAGAATTTAGCAGTACTGTTAAAGTCAGGAAGAAAGTTAAGAAGCACACCTAACCGGTATTTCTTTAATTTTAATAGACTTTGAATAAGTTTAGTTGTTTGTTGAATAATCTTAATTTAAACCGGAAAATGTCACAGATGTTTCTGTAGGTAAGATTCTAAATATTAAGAATTTAATGTTTCAATTTGGATTTCTTCAAGGATTTTTGTGAACCAGCTAGCAGTTTCTTACAAATGTTTTTTTTTTTTTTTTTACCTGTTCTTTTTTTAAATAAAGGAGAGGGCTTCACATAGATCAAAATCTGACATTTTATATTTTCTGTATAAAACAGGCCCTCAGGCTCTTGCATATTACTTTTCTACCTGACTTACACACCATCAGCATATTTGAGTTGTTCTGCATCTATTTTCACCTTGCTCTTCTCAGCAACATGCACATATTCTCTGTGCATGTTGCAAAGAGACTCTTCTGCCCTCTAGTTCTGAGTCAGCTGTTAAAATGTGCCTGAGCAATGCAATCTTAATTATATCACATTAGCCGCCATATCAGGCAGAAAGGCATGAGTAAAAGGAGTCACTAAACACATTTGGCCTGCAGCTTTGATGCTGTGGGTGTTCTGGGTCTCACCCTCATGCATGACTTTGTCAGTGAATCAGTGTGTGACAACACAGAGTTGCGTGTGGACAGCAGGGAATATTGGACTGTATGTGGTAATATTTGTATACTATATATCTAATGCATGAAGTAAGAGACGGTGCCTTGCAAAAAAAAAAAAAAATCATAGCCTTTGGCGTTTTATTTACATGTTCTCACACTACACTCCTACACAGAACATATTCTGTTCTGCTCCTAATTAATAAAGTCCACCTGTGTGGAATTTATCATCAGCATAAATATAATTGATGTGTGAAAGCCTAAAATCTTTTGGTTAATTGAGCACATAAATGTTTAACACGTGCGTTTGCATTTTCCAACACTTAATCCAACATAAAAATTAATTAAAATTGATCAAATATATTTCCCTCATATGAAATAGAAGGAAGCATACAGTCTTATTTAGTAAATTAGAATGTGTGTTCCAATAAAGCTTGTTAGATTAAAAGTACATTCTGACATTTTTTTTTTTTTTTTTGGGCAGGTATTACACATACTTTTTATTAATCCCACATTGTATTATATGTTGTCTGTATCTGTTTACCTTTTCTCTATAAATCTCAATGATTGGCAGGCATTTTCCTCAACTTTAGAGCTTGTAAATAAATTGTTCTTTACAGAACACATCAATTAAAATATTTGGGAATATGAACTTTTACACATGATAATGTGATAATAGCTAAACCTTCATATTTTAAAGGGAAAATGACAGTTTTTCTGCCTCCTCAACTCCATATGGACACAGGGCAAAGGGGAAATTAAAAATGACTTTCAGCTGTAGGTTGAAAATTCAGAGATTGAAAAATCAGGATGTCATCCACCAATAAACTGTTAGTGATCATAAAATGACATAACTGCTTACCTGTTATAACTGATCGAATGTTCAGGAGTGTCTGATTATTATAACAACACAAAAAACGAAAAATAAAAAGTGTCCAACACAAACATGTTTCTTTAGAAATACAGCTTACCTCTCTTAGGTACTGCTACTTTATAATGGTTGTAAGTATTTTACCAGATAACTTCAGTCTTTAAAACGTGAAACAGAAATAAATCTATAGTGTTTGTTTCGTCGCTGAGAAGTGTGTGAGAATGGCAAAATAAACCAACTATTGGTAAAAAGCTGTAGGAAGTAACATTTGTAGTTTACCACAAGTCATATGGGACAAAACAAATGTGGAACAAGGCAATCTGGTTAGACAAGAAATGTAACATTTGGCACGCATGCAACGCCCTGTGTGTGCATGAATACTAACATGGTACATGACACTGAACAGACCGTCCTCACTGAAACTGATGTCATGCTGTGGGGATTCTCTTTGCAGAAGATGACAGTGAAGGTGGTGAGAGTTACTCAGAATATGAATGGAGAAAACTTTTAAAGAGATTATCAAAAAACTGATATTAAAAGGGAGGTTGACCTTACAGCAGAGCAAAGACCCTGACCATGCAGCCAGAGCCACACAGCAGTGGTGTGGGTCAAAGAACGTTCATAAGACAAAATTGGCAATGGCACGGCGCCCCCCACTAAGGGGCACGCCCCACAGTTTGGGAACCTCTGGTTTACAGTAACACACAAATACAAATATCTTTGAAATAGTACAAACATTTGTGATGTCCAGAGTGGCATGTCTGTGTCTTTCTGTCTGTTTGTGGCTCTTCAGCTCTTTCCTTTCTGCACAGATGTAATCTAAAAAGGTCATGTGAAATTAATTCTCTCTCTGTTCTGAGATTTGAAATTTAGCCAGCATTTGCCATTGCAAACTAAGACAGCTTGTTTTAAAATATAATCCTCGTCCTTTTAAAATTGTCTTTTGAAACTGCTTTGTAATCTTCTAGGGGATTATTCGCAGTGGGTTTTTGTTTTTTTCAACCCTGTCGAGAGAGAACGGATAAAACATTTTAATGGAGTGACATTGGTCTGCTTAATCCAGTTTTATGTGACATCACCCTGCACTATTTATGTGTCCTGACCCTTCATGAAAAACAAACAAAAACACTTGCCACCCAACTCCAAAACAGCTGTTTTGAGTAAGTTGTTTAAATCTATTAATGTGAAAATCCCCAATAAATAAGTTCTTCAACTTAATTTTCTATTTAAATAAGCAACAGCAACTCATTATGCTCCAGTTCACGTCTTTGGTTTTCTAAAAAGAAATTGTAAGAATGAACATGGAATACATTAGCCGCACATCACTGAATCCACCTTTGCGGCGCCAACCGTTGGGTTACCTAAGGATTGCACAATAATTGTTGATGTTTGAAGTGTTGTGTGAAGAAGAGGTGATGCAACACAAGGGTAAGCCTTGCTCCAACTGTTTTTCAGCTTCTTGTTTGCATCTACCTCAAAGTGGGAACATCCTTTTCAAAAGTCTGTGAAAAAATGTCCTAATCTCAGGATGAAACATCTTGTCTCAGCCCAACTCCTTCAGTGAGCAGAAGGAAAATGAGAGGAAAAATAACTGAGATGTGAACCTTAACTTCGTGATGCTCAATCACATAAAGTTCATAACTTTTGCAGAAATATGTTGAATTTTGTAGCTGTAATGTAAAATCAAAGATATCAGCATGTACAGGAAGTGCGAACACATTTGTAAGCCTCTGTATTGGAATGAATTGGACTGGAATGACTTGAATCTCCAGTGTGATGGATTCTTCCTGATTGGACCCGTTCTTGTTAACATCTTACGGATTATTTTCTTTGTTGTGAGCTATAGTGCTTAACAAGCAATCTTAATTAAATTCAAACATGTATTTATCTTACTAAAATAAGAATTGTTTACATATTACACTGTTTAATACCTCCAAGGTGTGCATTTTACCTGAAAGTGGTGATAAATGTATAATTGGTTTAAATTGACAAAAGGTATAAACATACTTCACTAGGAAAAAAGAAACCTTTTACAGACCTTTTTTTCAGTTTGTCTTGTTTAGTTTAAATGTAAATAAGCCCCTGGTACCTAAACCTTACATATGAATGAACTCTAACCCAATAATAAAATCTTATATTTTGTGTTTTTCATGTGCCATACAACTGTTCCAGTACAAAGTGACCCATTCGTGTCTTTTTCAACCAGCCAGCTGTCCTCTAGGTCTTCAGGAGAGATTTGTTAAAAATCAAAATGGATGGCTTTTATGCAGTTTTTCTGCTGACAATCACCTATTGTGACTGAGTGGACAAATTTCTGCGAAAGGCTGGGTAGAGGTTGGGGGACAGTTAAATTGCTCACACTGCACAAAGAAAAACCTCTCTCTCTGTCTGACAGAGCTGTTTTAATCTGTCTGCAAACGTGCTTCTTCCTCCTTCATTCCAAAAAATGCATCTTACCAATTTCTGTTTACACCCTGTGCTTATGATTGAGAGACTTGTGAAACTGTTTGCATTGCCATTCATGAACGCTTCCTCATTAGTAGAAAGCCATGTATAGTTGTGAATGAGCAGTTTTGAATTTCAGGCATCTGTTTACTTGTATTTATGCCATTTATGTTGATTACTCTCTACTATGACAGACAAAACAGTCTTGAGGATGTCAATTAATGTTTTTTTTTCACCAACACAGACTCCTTAATTAGGCACAGTCCGCCTCTTTCACGTCGATTTGCTATAAGAAGAATTAAAATCTTTATTTCAGAAGTACAGGATGCCAGAAATAACTCATTGGAAATCATTTGGGATGCCACCTGGTTTCCTCCTTGTCAAGATAAAGCTGTAATTAAAATCTCATTTTAGGATTTCGGAGTGCTTTAATGAAGAAGGTCGAGACCTTGGTATTTTCAATCTGCACTAAAAAATTCAAATATTGACTTCTCCATTTAGGGGTTTCACATTCATATGCAAAATATTTTCAGTTGATTGTTTTTGTTTTTTTTTTCCTTATTGAAACAGTCATTGTCTACTGTATTTTTTGGGTTATATCTGAGCAATATTACAACAAACATACAGTGTTTTGTGAAAACATTCATGGTTTTTAAACTGTTTCATTGCATTTTATTGTGATTTTAATTACTAAAAATGTATTTTTGTGGAGGTGACTACATCTAAAATACTCTAAAAAGTACACTTTTTAGATTATTTGTGAAACAAATAACAAAAACATCTTTTACCACAATTATCAACTACTTTCTGCTGGTTTGTCAAATAAAATTTCCATAAAACCTTTGAGGCGTGT